TTTTTTTGAGATGGAGTCTCGTTCTGTTGCCCAGGCTAGAGTATAGTGGTGCAATCTCGGCTCACTTGTAACCTCCGACTCCCTGGTTCAAGCGATTCTCCTGCCTCGGCCTCCCAAGTAGCTAGGATTACAGGTGCCCTGACACCATGCCTGGCTAATTTTTGTATTTTTAGTAGAGACGGGGTTTCACCATTTCGGCCAGGATGGTCTAGATCTCCTGACCTTGTGATCCTCTGCCCCAGCCTCCCAAAGTGCTAGGATTACAGGCGTGAGCCACTGCCCCCAGCCAGCATGTTTTCACAAGCCCTCCAGGGGACTCTGAAACATGCGAAAGCTTGAACCACAAAAAGATACAGCAAAAAAGTTTAAAAAGTTTGCTTTATAAAGCCAGAATACAGGGTTCTAGAAACAGGCTGGGTGTGGTGGCTCACACTTGTAATCCCGGTACTCTGGGAGGCTAAAGCAGGAAGATTACTTGTGCCCAGGCAAGACCAGCCTGGGCAACATAGTGAGACCCTGTCTCGAAGATAAACAAGAGATTACTTTTATTAAAGAAGCCTGGCCAGGTGCAGTGGCTCACACCTATAATCCCAGCACTTTGGGAGGCCAAGATGGTGGATCACTTGAGGTCAGGAGTTCCAGACCAGCCTGGCCAACATGGTGAAACCCCCTCTACTAAAAATACAAAAATTAGCTGGGTGTGGTGGCACTTGCTCATCTTAGCTACTCGGGAGGCTGAGGCAGGAGGATTGTGTGAACTCAGCAGGCAGAGGCTGCGGTAAGCCGACATTGCACCACTGCATTCTAGCCTGGGCAAAGGAAGGCAGTGGGTGACCTTGGCAAATGCTGTTGATAGACTAAGGCGCCCAAGCCCGTAGGGAAATCAGTCCTCAGAATGGTGGTCATTAGGGGCCCTGACAAGAACGGTGAAAACCCAGGTTGAAATGAAGAGGCATGATAAATCTAGGCCATGGAAGGAATCCTCCGTAATGGGAGATGTATGGTGGTAATTACAGAGGGCTGGCACGCAGTCGAGCATGTCTGAAGCTGGTGGTGATGGACAGGTGTGTTAGATGGAACTGATCCAACAGGCTCGGGAAATGGATTCTAGGGGAAAGATCTGACATGTTTCCTGGATAGAAAGCCAGAAGACAAAGCTCTAAACAGGCTGGGCATGGTGGCTCCCACCTGCAATCCCAGCATTTTGGGAGGCCAAGGCAGGAGGATCGCCTTTAGGACTGTGGGATACAGGTGAGTCAGTGGACAGAAACGAGACAATTGTGTTTGAGTAGTGCTGGCGGTCTGCTCTGAGGTCCGGTCATAGCCTGAGATGAGGCCTTTCAGTGTGCTGGCTTTCTCCAGACCCTCAGGTGCAAGAGTGAGCTTTTTAAAGCTCATCATAAAGCTTGTTCATCATCTTAGCTACCCTGGAGGCTGAGGCAGGAGGATCGCGTGAACCCAGGAGACAGACCTGGTGAGACCAGAATGGAGGTTCTCCAGGAAAGTAAACGATAGAAGGATGTGGGAATGGACAGTGTGTATAAGAGGATGTAGTGATGGGGTTTTGAGCTCTGAGAAGGGCAAAAGGGAAGTGAGGGTGGAGGGTGGGGATAGGTGGTAGGATCTGGGACCGAGGCTGGGGATTCTCTGGGGTGGGAGCATAGGTGAGCTAAATAAATAGGAAGGCATTAAGCCTGCCTTGGAGGTGGCGTGCAGTCTGGGTTATGACCATTGTAATGGATGTCTAAGGTGGCGTAGAACCCATGTTCATTGAAATAAGGTCAGAGATCAAAATGTCTGGGTGTTCTAGTCCTTTGTCAGGTAGGTGCCAGTGACAATAGTGGTGGAGGCAAGTGGTGCTAGAACAATCCATGAAGGATGGAGGGGATGATATAGTCCCCAAAAGAAAGGGGTAGCTGGCATTATCTGATAGCCTGCGCCTCACAGGGACTGGGGTGAGAAATGGTCTCGAGGTGTCAGTGAAGAACCAAGAGGTTCCGGCCCTCCTGCGGGTCTGGCACTACACGGCAGGTAGGAAGAAGCTCAGCTCGAATCGTCAGTATTCTGAGCCCTGAAGATCCAGCTCTGGAAGAATAAACATGTTGTCTGCTCTGAGAGCCTGCTAGGACAGATGGACAGCCAGAGGCTAAGCAGAGGCTGGAGGGGAGCCCTTTAAGATGCCCCCAGAGGAGGCAGAGAGAGTTGAGAGATAGCTGAGGCCTTCCGGGCAGCTCAGTGAGGACCGAGGGCAGGAAGGGCCTTCTAGGCAGAGGCAGCATTTGTGCCTGGGTTGCAGGGCTTCTGGCCTCTTCTTGGTTTCTGGATTTTTGGTGTGTGTGTTTCTTGTTTTGAGATGGAGTCTAGCTCTGTAGCCCAGGCTGAAAGATAGTGGTGTGATCTCAACTCACTGCAACCTCCGCCTCCAGGAGTCCCGGTTCAAGTAATTCTTGTGCCTCAGCTTCCTGAGTAGCTGGGATTACAGGCATGTACCACTATGCCCAACTAATTTTTGTTTTTAATAGAGATGGGATTTTACCATGTTGGCCAGGCTGGTCTTGAACTCCTGACCTCATGATCTACCCACCTCAGCCTCCCAAAGTGCTGGGATTATAGGCGTGAGCCAGTGCACTGACCTGGCCTCTGTTTAATGCCTGCCTCAGTGTTGCGAGGGATGTGAGCCTGCAAGCCTGCAACACCTGTCGCAGCCCCTAGCAAAGATAGAAAGCCCACAGTGAAGTGCTAGCTGTGCTTCAAACAAACTAGCTATGAGACGGGTCCCCGGGGGGTCCACCGCGGGACAGCCAGCCAGTAAGGGCTTGTGGCAAGCAGACTGTGACCCCCATGCTTGGTGGTGAATCATTCTTGGGTGGAATGGCCACAGGGAGCCTGGGTCCCCAGAATGGTAGCAGGCCCTGGGTATGCAGCAGCTCTTGGGCTGGGTGCCACGGGCCAGCTGATTATAACAGGTCAAGAGGGCTGTGTGCACTGGGCAGTCTCAGGGGTTCCTGGGGGAAGACTGCCTTGTCTGGTCTTGCCCCTTGAGGCCTGGCTCAGAGCTGGTGAAGCCTCTAGGCAGATGAGCAGCAGGAACCAACACAGGAGTGGTCCTGGTGGGCCCAGTTCCCTCACAGCCAGCAGCAGAATGGAGGCCAGGTCTGTGAGCAACATCCCCAGGGCCTCCCAGGAGGGGCTGCTGCAGAACTGCAGAGTCCACGGGAGGGCTGCTGAGGCCCCGTCCCAGACCAAGAGGCCAAAGACCCAGGGCAGCACGTGACTGGGGCAGCCATGGCCACAGCTGCAGCCACCTACTGGCATGCGGGAGGAGCTGGAGACAGGCAGCTGGCAGTGCCGTGCAAAAGGTCTGAGGATGCTACAGTTCCTGGATCTCTTGGGGTTCTGGTGGCCAAAGTAAACCTAGCTTAGGAGTCCCTGAAATAAGAAAATAGGAAATCACCTGAGTCTTTGGACGGAGTCTCGCTCTGTCGCTCAGGCTGGAGCACAGTGGTGTGATCTCAGCTCACTGCAACCTCTGCCTCGGGTTCAAGTGATTCTCCTGTCTCAGCCTCCTGAGTAGCTGGGATTACAGGCACATGCCACCACACCCAGCTGATTTCTGTATTTTTAGTAGAGGCAGGGTTTTACCATGTTGGTCAGGCTGGTCTTGAACTCCTGACTTGTGATCTGCCCTCTTCAGCCTCCCAAAGTGCTGGGATTACAGGTGTGAGCCACTGTACCTGGCCATCACCAGGGGTCCTAAGCAGGAATGGCCATCATCGGGCCCACAGTTGCCATATCAGGAACAGATAAGGAGGAACAGGCCAGGAAAGAAGTTCTAGTGGCCCAGGTGGGAGAAACTTGGGTCAGGGTCATCTTTGGCATAGAAAACAAAGACTTGGGCTGGGCACAGTGGCTCATACTTGTAATCCTTCTACTTTGAGAGGCTAAGGCAGGTGGGATTGCCTGAGCCCAGGAGTTGGAGACCAACCTGGGCAATGTGGTGAAACCCTATCTCTGCTTAAAAACACAAAAAACTAGCAGGCATGGTAGTGCACACTACAGTCCCAGCCACTTCAGAGGCTGAGGTACGAGAATCGCTTGAACCCAGGAGACAGAGGTTGAAGTGAGCTAAGATTGCTCCCTTGCACTCTAGCCTGGGTAACAGAGCGAGACTCCATCTCAAAAAAAAAAAAAAAAAAAAAAAAAAAAAAAAGACTCTTAGGATCTAGTTAGCAAAAGACAACCAATGCATGTGGTCAGCTTCCTTCTGATCCCCCTCTGCATGGTTCTGTATTTAATGACCTAAAACTAGGAGACATGCATAACGTATAATCACAAGAACACTTGGTTTCTTCAGAAACCTTGATGGAGGCGTCATCCATCCAATAAATGGTTCTCACTGACCCTTCTAGCATCAGTAAGTGTGACTTTTTTCAGATGAGGCTGCCAAGCCCAGCCTGGGACAGTTACTCACCTTTAGGACTTTATGCTATCATCACAGGAGTTGGATTCCTGGGTCAAAATGTAGAGCCAACCACCCTGAGTTTTCATACCAGCCAGGAGTCTTGAAGGCATTGCCTCCCGAGCTCCGACTCCTGGCGTGTAATAGGCCTTCCAGGAGCATGGGTGCCTAACTGGCCCTCGCTTGAATATGAACATCTGGTTTCCACCAAGCCCTGAATTCTAGAAACAGGGAGGCTGAGCCAGTTCAGCTCCAGCCCTCCTGGAACTCCCAGCCTTGCCTCTGATATGAGGAATGAGCTGGTACCCTTGACCATCAAATATGGTGACCCATACTAGGTTACTTCAGTGGCTGGTCCATCCCTTCCTTCTCTCCTAGAAGACAACTCCAGTACCTTTGAGTTGGTGCTGGGGCCCAGCCAGCATGCCTACACCTTGGCCCTCCTCGGGGACCACTTGAAAGAGACCTTCTACCTCGAAGCTATGGTGTTTCCGTCCGCTGAATTCTCAGGCCTGATCACCTACTCTGTATCCCTGGTGGAGGAGTCTCAAGACCCAGTATGTCCTCACATAGATGAGTCCATGGGCTGGGATGCTCGGGTGGGGGAAAGCATCTCCCTCAGTTGGGCAGAGCTTGGTTTGCTGGGGCAGAGCTGCAGAAGGCAGGTGGGGCCCAGCTGCGGGCTGGGCTGATGGCCGGAAGCCTGGGGGTAGGAGGGGAAGGAGTAGGTGTGGAAGCAGGTTGCTAACAGAACCTTTTCTTCTAGTTAATTCCAGAGACTCCACTGTACAAAGACACGGTGGTGTTTCGGGTGGCCCCCTGCATCTTCATTCCCTGCACCCAGGTGCCTCTGGAGGTTTATCTGTGCAGGTGAGAGACCCTCAGGCCAACTGTGCCAGGCGGTTCTTATAACTGGCACCCCCTTTTCTGTTTGCAGGGCAAGGTGGGTAAAGATGGTTAGGACCTCTCACCAGGTGAGTGTAACCCTTTGATCTGAGTTGCCTGGATCTGACCCAAGACAGTCCAATACATGCCTGAATATTTCCAAAGCTGGGCATGGAGCAGTGAATGAGACAGTCCCCCATTCTTATGTGAGGGTCAAACAACGTGGTTTTAAATAGTGCCCAGTGCTCTAAAGCAGGGCGGAGGATGGAGAGGTCGGACGAGAACCTGTTCCAGGGATGATGAGGCTCCTATGGAGCCAGCAGAGGAACAGGTGTGAGCCCAGGAAGGGGTGGTGGCAGGCTGGGTGAAAGGAGCAGAGTTCTGTGGGCCCTGGCCTTTAGGGAGAGGTGTCTGGGGCCATAGCCACCCCGAATACAGTGGTGAAAACTTTGCCACCTGGATGCCTGCAGGAAGATGGTACTGCTCACCCACTGCCATTTAGGGGCCCTGGTTCCTTTCAGTCTTGTTAAGCTTTCCCTCGGGGCGGCATCCTCCTCGATGGAGGCTGGGTGTGCACATTCCTAGGTCCAGGCCCGGGCCCCAGGGAGGGAGAAGGAGCCAGGATCCAGGTGCTGCCGCCTATTGTTGCAGCGGGTGGTCTGGAAGTCTCCTGAACCATTTCTCACGTGCCAAAAGCCTGAACACACACAAGGCCACATCTGGCTTCAGGGAACCCAGAAACGGTCTCCGCTACGTAGCCGCATGCCTAGGGAGAAAAGAACGGGTCCTGAAGGCACAACCAGTGGGAAACCAAGGGTTCTGTCTGCACGATCACTCTAGCTGCATGGGAAGTCAGCTGCAAATAAAAGATGCGAGACCAGTCTAGACAGCGTGGCTCAAGCCAGGGTGGCAGGAGCACAGCCGTTAGCGGTGGGCTTGGTCTGCAGGTAGGACATCCCTGCCCCACTTGCTCCATACCAGCCGCCTCCGGATGACTACTGCCACGTCGTCCCTTATTACAAATTCCTTATGTGAAGGCTGTCTTTTTTTTTTTTTTTTTTTTTTAGGAGGCGAAGGTTAATGCTGATAGAATGCTCTAGCAAGGATGGGAAATACTAATAGAAAGGAAAAGGCAGCCAGGCGTGGTGGCTCTCGCCTATAATCCTAGCACTTTGGGAGGCTGAGGCTGGCGGATCACTTGAGGGTCAGAAGTTCAAGACCAGCCTGGCCAATGCAGCAAAACTGTGTCTACTAAAAATATAAAAATTAGCTGGGCATGGTGGTGGGTGCCTGTAGTCCCACTTACTCAGGAGGCTGAGGCAGGAGAATCGCTTGAACCTGGGAGGCAGAGGCTGCAGTGAGCCGAGATTGCGCCATTGCACAATCTCCTGCAATCAGGAACCTGTGCAACAGAGCAAGACTCCGTCCCCCACGAAAAAGGAAAAGGCAACTGCAGGAGCCCAGCCGGTAGGATGGGTGTGCAAGTCAAACCAGCCTTCATGTGGGTGTGCAAGGGCCACTCGCCATGGTTCAGGAGGGAACGCACAGAATCGACTAGGAAACAGCAGGATGGCTGGATGGTGCCAAGGACCTGTTGAAATTGGCGATCTAAAGAAAGCGGTCATCGTGGGTTTTTCTCCATCTATTCGAAGTAACTTTTTCCAGGAAGAATAAATGTAGAACTAGGTCTAAGCAGATTGGATTTTGCCAGGCAAATAAGCTCAAGGAGAAGGACAAGAATGTGTTCTGATGCCCCATCGAATGCAAGGTTGAGGAGGAAGGAAAGGAACAGGCTTGATGGATCAAAGCCATCAGGGGCTAGAGGTCCCAGTGAGGCCAAGCTGCCAGCCCGGGCCCAGAAGGGGCCACAGGGAAGATGAACGCCATGGGACTGAATGTTTATCTTTTTTTGAGACTGGTTCTTGCTCTGTAACTTAGGCTGGAGTGCAGTGGTGCGATCTCGGCTCACTGCAATCTCTGCCTCCAGGTTCAAGCAATTCTACTGCCTCAGCAACCCAGGTAGCTGGGATTACAGGAGTACGCCACCATGCCTGACTAATTTTCGTATTTTTAGTTGAGACAGGATTTCACCTTGTTGCCCAGGCTGGTCTTGAACTTCTGACCTCAAGTGATCTGCCCATCTCGGCCTCCCAAAGTGCTGGGATTACAGGCGTGTACCAGGATGCCTGGCTAGTTTTTGTGTTTTTAGTTGAGACAGGGTTTCACCTTGTTGCCCAGGCTGGCCTTGAACTCCTGACCTCAGGTGATCGGCCTACCTTGGCCTTCCAAAGTGCTGGGATTACAGGCGTGAGCCACCGCGCCCAGCCAGAAGTCTGTGTTGCTATTCGTTGATGCAACCAGGACACCTCCCTCCCTTCAGGGCACTTCCTGACCTGGCTCTGCCACAGGCAAAGCTGAGTAGCATTGGACAAGATGGGCTCTGAGCTGCTGGCTTGTGCTGGTCAGGGGATGGTTGCTCTGTCGACCTCATGGGCAGGGATATGACCCCTCCTGGCATAGGGAGGTCATGACCCGTAAGGGAGCCTGGAAAGCCTTCCCAGAACCGGCTTCTCTCATGGCAGGGAGCTGCAGCTGCAGGGTTTTGTGGACACAGTGACGGAGCTGAGTGAGAAGAGCAACAGCCAGGTGGCCTCTGTCTATGAGGACCCCAGCCGCCTGGGAAGGTGGCTCCAGGTAATATCCCGCCTGGGAACCTGCCTGTGGAGGAGGGGTGGGGAGACTCAGTATGTGGTATCTAGGAGGAATGTCACAGGCTTTTGGTTAACCCTAAAGCTGACCAGAGCCTTGACAGGGGTGGCCCCGTTCTTAGGACTTCAGTGGAGGCTCAGATGAGGATTTGCCTGAGTTATGACCACTGAAAAATATAGTTTAGAGAGCCAGGTGTGTGCAGTGGCTCATGCATGTAATCCCAGCACTTTGGGAGGCTGAGGCAGGGAGATCATGTCAGGAGATTGAGACCATCCTGACTAACACGGTGAAACCCTGTCTCTACTAAAAATGAAAAATTAGTCAGACATGGTGGCATGTCCCTGGTCCCAGCTACTCGAGAGGCTGAGGCAGGAGAATCGCTTGAACCCGGGAGGCAGAGGTTGCAGTGAGCTGAGATCACACCACTGCACTCCAGCCTGGGTGACAGAGGGAGATTCTGTCAAAGAAAAGTTTAGAGTCCAACCTCCTTCCCACTGCAGAATGTACACAAGTTCAAGACCACAGAACCCTAACCCCCAGGCCCCTGAAGGGTCTGATGCCTTTGGTTAAGGCTGAGAGCTGGGCCACTGCCCTGGGTCCCACCTGACCCTGGCATGGCAGCAAGTCTAGATCCCTGGTCAGCCTTCAGTTCTAGAGCTCTGTCCTCTGTAGATACGTGATTGTCACATGCTAGGCACACCATCCTGAGCACCAGAGAGAAATCGGAACATCTGTCCCATGTTAGCAAGGGTAGAATTTTTTTCTTTTTTTGAGACAGTCTTTCTCTGTCTCAAGGTGCCAGGCTGGAGTGCAGTGGCGTGATCTTGGCTCACTGCAACCTCCGCCTCCCGGGTTCAGGCAATTCTCCTGCCTCAGCCTCCCAAAGTAGCGGGGATTACAGGCACGCACCACCACACCCAGCTAATTTTTGTATTTTAGTAGAGACAGGGTTTCACCATGTTGACCAGGATGGTCTCGATCTCTTGACCTTTTGATTCTCCTGCCTCAGCCTCTCATCGTGCTGGGATTACAGGCTTGAGCCACCGCACCCAGCCAAGTATAGAACTTTTAAGTGTTATGAAAGTTAGAGGATGAGATGATGCAGTGAGTCACTAGACCAAATGAGGCCATTTAAGAATAGATGGGGAAAACCCTCAAATGAAAAGGAACCAAGGAGCTGGCCATACAGAGATTGGGGCAGGGGTAGCCGGGATTTAAAAGTAGGAGACCCCAGCCAGCCACTGGTGGCTCACGCCTGTAATCCCAACACTTTGGGAAGCTGAGGCAGGTGGATCACTTGAAGTCAGGAGTTTAAAAACGGCTTTGAAAGCATGGCAAAATACCATCTCTACTAAAATTACAAAAATCAGCCAGGTGTTGTGGCACACACCTGGAGTGCCACCTAGTTGGGACACAGAAGAATTGCTTGAACCCAGGAGGCAGAGGTTGCAGTGAGCTCAGATTGGGGCCACTGCACTCCAGCCTGGGTGACAGAATGAGACTCCATCTCAAAAGTGGGAGCTCTTCAGGCAAAAGAGCAACTGACAAGATCAGATGGGGTCTGGGGTGTGGCCAGACATGGTGGCTCACACCTGTAATCTCAGCACTTTGGGAGACCGAAGCAGGTGGATCACCTGAGGTCAGGAGTTCAAGACCAGTTTGGCCAACGTGGTGAAACGCCATCTCTACTAAAAATACAAAAATTAGCTAGGAGTGATGGCATATGCCTGTATTCCCAGCTACTCGGGAGGCTGAGGCAGGAGAATCACTTGAACCCAGGAGGTGAAGATTGTGGTGAGCCCAGATCATGCCACTGAACTCTAGCCTGAGCAACAGAGCAAGACACTGTCTCCAAAAAAAAAAAAAAACATGGGAGTGTGCTTGGAGGTCTTGAAGAGGGCTGGGTGCAGCCAGATCCATGAACAAAGGTGAGAGGCAGGGCTTCTTCCTAGCACCCTTTAAGCTAAAGGCAAGTAAGAGACACTCAAAGCATGAATCAGGAATGAAAGATTACAGTTTAGGTTTTCAAAAGACCTCTCCAGCTAAGATGTAGGGAACAGATCTTGAGAGTGGGCAAGAATAGAAGGGAAACTTGAAGGCATTGCAGTGTATAGGGTGGAGATCATGGTGGCTTCCTGAGTGGCACCAGAGCAGAGTTGACTCAGAATGCAAGCCAGTGAGGCTTGTGAATGGATTCTTTACAAAAGAAGGAAGAATCTAGTTGCTCAAGTCTTTGTCACCCAGGCTGGAGTGCAGTGGCATGATCTCAGCTCCACTGTAGCCTCTTTCTCCCACGTTCAAGCAATTCTCCTGCCTCAGCCTCCTGAGTAGCTGGGATTACCAGCATGAGCCACCATTCCCAGCTAAGTTTATATATATTCGTAGGGACAGGGTCTTATCATGTTGCCTAAGCTAGTCTCGAACTCCTGGGCTCAAGTGATCCATCTACCTTGGCCTCCCAGAGTGCTGGGATTGTAGGCATGAGCCACTGCGCCCAGCCATGGATGCTCAAGTCTTAAACCTGAAGAGGTGGAAAGCAGGATCAGAGAGCCTTCAAGAAGGGATGGCATCTGAGCTGGGTGTTGAGGGCTGAGCAGGAGTTGGCAGGAAGGAAGGGGGTTCTTACTGTTCCTTATCCCTAAAGGGGATCCAGGGAGATGAGCAATTGGCAAGTAATCCGTCTTCTGTCTATTTCCAGGATGAGATGGCCTTCTGCTACACCCAGGCGCCCCACAAGACCACATCCTTGATCCTCGACACGCCTCGAGCCCCCAATCTCGATGAGTTCCCCATGAAATACTCACTGGTGTGGAGCTTGGTTTGGCTGATCGGAGCTCAGTCCAATCTCTCAGGCCTGGTGCCTGCCTAGAAATGATGGGACACTAAGTAGGGGGAGGGCCTGTGGTGGCAGGGGCAGGGGGATGCGGGCACCTACCTGAGAGCCCAGATTGAGGGATAAGACTGGTGCGGTGACCCTCGTGGATCACTAGAGCAGAAGGAACACTTCAGCCCCAGGAGTTTGAGGTTTCAGTGAGCCATAATCACGCCACTGCACTCTAGCCTGGGCGACAGAGCGAGACCTCGTCTCAAAAGGAAAAACAAAACTCAATCAAAAGTTATTTCTAGTGATTATTTGCTCCTGTGACTATAATGTTAAGCCAAAAAAAAAAAAAAAAAAGCCCCTAGTAATGCCCCTTCCCCGGCCGGGTCTCTCTCCAGAGCCCCGGTATTGGCTACATGACCCACAACACTGAAGACCATAAAGTGGCCAGCATGGATTCCATCGGGAATGTGATGGTGTCCCCACCTGTCAAGGTCCAAGGGAAAGAATACCCACTGGGAAGAATCCTCATGGGCAGCAGCTTTTACCCCAGGTGAGCCACAGAGCCAGATGCCTTCAGATGAAAGGCAGGGACCATGGCTGTTCCCCTGGCCCCACCTGCTTCCCATAGAACCTCAGCAGGTCCATACTCTGTGTACTTTTTTTTTTTTTTTTCTTAGATGGAGTCTCACTTGGTTGCCCAGGCTGGAGTGCAGTGGTGTGATCACGCCTCACTGCAAGCCTCGCCCCCAGGTTTAAGCAGTTCTTCTGCCTGTCTCCCCAGTAACTGGGATTACAGGTGCCCGCCACCACACCTGGCTAATTTTTGTATTTTTAATAGAGACGGGGTTTCACCATCTTGGCCAGGCTGGTCTTGAACTTCTGACCTCATGATCCACCCGCCCCAGCCTCCCAAAGTGCTGGGATTATAGGCATGAGCTGCCCCACCTGGCCAAAAAAAAAATTTTTTTTTAGATGGAGTTTTGCTCTTGCTGCACAGGCTGGAGTGCAATGGCACGATCTCTGCTCACCACAACCTCCGCCTTCTGGGTTCAAGTGATTCTCCTGCTTTAGCTTCCTGTGTAGCTGGGATTACAGGTGTGCACTACCATGCCTGGCTAATTTTGTCTTTTTAGTAGGGACAGGGTTTCTTCATGTTGGTCAGGCTGGTCTTGAACTCCTGACCTCAGGCAGTCCACCTGCCTAGGCCTCCCAAAGTGCTGGGATTACAGGCATGAGCCACCGCACCTGGCCTTGTGGACCACTTCTTAAATTGAAGTAAGGATATCGAACTTTTGATTCACGTGGGAGACTAAAGGTTAGGATAAACCGCTTATTCTTTGATTCCAGAGTTTAAACTGAAAGGAGAAATTTGGTCCACCAGGATGTCATTTGTAAGATATGTGGTTGGATTTCTTGGTGGCCATAATTCCAAAATGATACTTGTGTCCAGGCTTGTCTGTCTAGAAACACTTGGCTTCGTTCTGAGTGGGGTCAGAGTAAGGGATTCATAACCCCTCCTCTGTGGACTGGCTCTTCCACCCAATGGTCAGGGAAGCCAGTTACCTGGAGGCAGCATGACACCAAGTGGCGGGCAACCAGCCTGGGCCACACTGGCTCAAGGGCTGTTCTTTCCATCTTCCTTCCAGCGTGGAGGGCCGGGCCATGAGTAAGACCCTCCGAGACTTCCTCTATGCCCAGCAGGTCCAAGCACCGGTGGAGCTCTACTCTGATTGGCTAATGACTGGCCACGTGGATGAGTTCATGTGCTTCATCCCCACAGATGAGAAGAGTGAGGGCAAAAAGGTCTGTGTTGGGGGCTGGAGAGGGGACATCTGACCATGTCCCCATGCCTTCTGTTGGGGACTCTTGGAAGATTCTAGGGAGAACGTTGGCTTTTGTTTTTGTTTTTTGAGACGGTCTCGCTCTGTTGTCCAGGTTGGAGTGCAGTGGCGTGATCTTGGCTCACTATAACTCCCGGCCCTGGGTTCAAGCGATTCTCCGGCCTCAGCCTCCCGAGTAGTTGGGATTACAGTCATGTACCACCATACCTGGCTAATTTTTGTATTTTTAGTAGAGATGGGGTTTCACTATGTTGGCCAGGCTGGTCTTGAACTCCTGACCTCAGGTGATCCACCTGCCTTGGCCTCCAAAGTGCTGGGATGGCAGGTGTGAGCTACCATGCCCAGCTGAGAAAGCTGGCTTCTGACTCAAGTTCTCTTTCCCAGGGCTTCCAGCTGCTCCTGGCCAGCCCCGGTGCCTGCTACAAACTCTTCCAAGAGAAACAGAAGGAAGGCTATGGTGATGCTTTTCTGTTTGACGGAGTTAGAGCAGATCAGCTCCTGTCTAACAGTAAGGGAACACCCTTTCCACAGGACGGACTGGGGTCCTTCTTTTCCCAGGGGCCCTTTCTATGTAGCCATTCTGTCGCCCTTAGCAGAAAGGACCCCATGGAGGCACAAAAACTGTTGGAATTGCTGTACTGGAACATCTTATTTCCGGGCCACTCCGGCGGTACCAGGACAACACAAGTATACCAGATGTTCCGGGAGGGCCTAGAGGCTGCTAGGATGTATTGGACGGGGGCTCACTTAGCACACAGCTGGCCCCAAGTGGGGGGAAAACAGGTGTCAGCAATGTTAGTGCCTGGATTTATTCAGGGCACGTTGGGTTAAGTACCTAGGCATGGGGACTTGGTGGATCTCCTGGTCACTGTTAAAAAAAAACAACACCACACACACACACAGGTGGACAAGCAGAGGTTGTGTGGCTGGTGGCATAGCACTTCTGATCTAAAGGCTGTGGGAATGGGCCTGGTGCAGTAGCTCACACCTGTAACCCCAGCACTTTGGGAGGCCGAGGCGGGTGGATCATGAGGTCCGGAGTTTGAGACCAGCCTGGCCAACATGATGAAAGCCTGTCTCTACTAAAAATACAAAATTAGCTGGATGTGGTGGTGCGCTCCTGTAATTCCAGCTACTCTGGATGCTGAGGCAGGGGAATCGCTTTAACCTGGGAGGCAGAGGTTTTGCAATGAGCTGAGATCACGCCACTGCACTCTGGCCTGGCCTATAGAGCAAGACTCGATTTCAAAACATAAAGACTGTAGACATACAGAAAGGGGCTGAGGGTTTTAGGTTTTTCTAGACCCTCACTACCCAAAGTGTGATCTGAGGGCCGGTGCACCTGGGAGCTTGTCAGAACTGCAGGATTTCTACCTGGCTCCAGGCCTCCCGTATTGTCAGCCTTTCGGCCTTTGGGGTGGGGCCTAGGAACTCCTGGTCATAGAAGCCTCATGGAAGGTGACATCTGCTGAGCATGAACCACATGACAAAGACTGTCACCTCAGAGCTGGCAAATGAATTGGGCATCCCTGTCCCAAAGATGAGGCAGTTGAGGAACCAAGGTAATGTTACCTCATCAAGGTCACAGGCAGAAGGTGCCAGGTTGTATTGGCATCAGGGGTATAGGGCTGAAGTCATCCTAACAAACTCTAGGCTGTATCCCTCAGAGCCTGGCACAGGCTGCTCCCCCTCCTGCTGGGGACAGAGTGGCCAATGGCAGTAAGTCCTGCCTGGGTGTTCTAGTGTGGACCCTCGTCAGTCCCCAAGAGGATGACATCAGACCTGAGGGCGTGGTCCTTGGAGACTGGCCAGGCCTCTCACCATGGTCTCTGGGCCAGGAACACACCCGGGTGGCTGAACCCAGCCCGAGTCTGCCCAGCTCTGGGCAGTGTTGTAACTGCCTGACCAGCGGGCCTGCTGCCTACTTCTTCCTACAGGAAGGGAAGCCAAAACCATCGACCAACTTTTGGCTGATGAAAGCCTGAGGAAGCAGAATGAATACGTGGAGGTAGGGGCCAGTGTGATGGGGGCCATCCCCAAGAAAGGGCTGGTGCTGTGGGTCCTGCAGGAAAGCTCCCATCTACCCCTCCTGGGGTGTGAGGGGTTGGGGGGCAGCTGCCTGCCACCCTTTTCTCCAGGTCCTGATACAGCCCTTGGTCCGGGGCTAGAGCTAGCCATATGCCAGTGCAGGGAGACTAGAGGAGTAAGGAGCTAGGGCTCTGGAGTCAAAAACGCGGCACGATGCACCTTAGGCTTAGAAGAGGGCTGGAAATAGCAAGCAGCTTTCCACAATGCCAGATGGCTGAGGACCTGGGGTGGTACTGGGGCAGGGAGAAGCGCAGTGGCATGTCGGGACCATTGGCAGATCCTGCTTGCACAGATACTGTCAGAGCGGGTTACTGACTGTGACTGTGCAGCTGGTCTCTTCCCCAAGCTGGAAAAGCCCTGACGATCTAGGCAGTTCCTAGCTAAGAACCAATGATGGCCCAAGCATTGTGCAGGATTCCTTACTACAAACCCTGCAGACAGTCCTGTAAAGTAAAACGCCTCTCGTGTACGAGGATAGTGAGGCAGAGTAAAACCACTAGCCTGAGACAATCATTTAGGGAATTGGGTCTGGACTCCCAAGTTCACGTGTTGCTTATTATGCTGCTCAAGCTGCCTGGGATCCATTTCCTAGGAAATGACAAAGCCCAGCTGGCCTCCTTGAAGAGGCCAGCTGAGCTGAGCATCAGACTCAAGAGGGCCTATTCAATGCTTTCTGAAGTGGCCCGTCACAGCAGTCCCAAGAATGGTGTTCAGGGTTGCCAAGCCTTCAGAGATCTTAGTGAATAATTGGCTGTGAGAAGCAGAGTCTCCCCTCAACTTCTGGGAGAAGCTGAGGCCCATAGAAGGGCAGTTTCTTGGCCGAGGTTGCATGGTCAGCAAAATTGCTTTGCTCACTAGGTCCTTACCCTTCCCAGAAATGTTCCCAAGGAATGTTCTATGCCATATACAGTGCATGGATGCCCTGATCTTGGCAAGAACAGCCCTGGTGCAGCAGGGTGGGTGCCAGCCAGGCATGGGGCTGATACCACATCTCCCAGCCCTTGGTGACAAATAGCTTAGGTGTGTTGGGTACATGTCTGAAGCCTGTTTCAGGACCTAGGGAGACATTTGGGTATTGGGCTCAGCTGGTCTGGGTTGGGGAAATACCCGACGCTGTCTAGCTGTGGGATCCTGAACTAAAGACCAGGTCCTTCCTGAACCTCCACTTCCCCATGTGAAAAGGGAACTGTGCCCACTTCATCAGAAGGTTGGCATGGCATGTGAGGCTCCTTGGCACACAGCAAGTGATGGGGGATGGTGGTGTCAGGTCATCGCCTGCCTTCAGTATGGAAGGAAACTGTTTAATTCCTGATGAGCTCTCCCATTCCCCTCCTGCCCCACAGAAGTGTATTCATCTGAACCACGACATCCTGAAGACAGAGCTGGGCCTGGTGGAACAGGACATCATTGAGATTCCCCAGCTGTTCTGCTTGGAGAAGCTGACCAATGTTCCCTCTGATCAGCAGCCCAAGAGGCTCTTCGCAAGGCCATACTTCCCTAACCTGGTGAGGGGGCGACTGGGCACCCCTGGGCAGGGGAGGGCCCGTTTAGGCCCTCACTGTGCTGGACTGAGGAGATGGGGGGGACAGATAATGGTGCCGATGAGGAAATGGAAGGAGACCCCTCTCCCACATCTTGGTGAGGGACGGCCCTCCCTGAGAGCAGGTGCACTGGGCCTGAAGGCTGGGATGGACCAGGTGCTTTAGGAGCCTCAGTGAGCTGCCCTGTAGTCTTAAAGGATGAACCTGTCAGGCCCACTTCAGATAGGGTGCAGTGTACCCAAAGTCAAGGTTGCTGTGCATCTGCTGGCAGTGAGGCCTTGGGCAAGCTGCCTCCGGGCGAGTCTTCCCATCCGCTGTCCCCAGGGTCTGGGGAAGCAGTGTCTGCTATACGGAGGTATATCAGCACTTAAAATAGCATTCTGTTCTGCTTGACTGGTCGTGGTGGCTCACCTGTAGTTCTGGCACGCTGGGAGGTCAAGGGGGGAGGATTGCTTCATTTCAGGAGTTGGAGACCAGCGGGGGCAACATAGACCCTGCATCTAAAAAATTAGGTAAGGCAGCTCATGCCTGTAATCTCAGCACTTGGGGAGGCTGAGGCAGGCATATCACTTGAGATCTGGAGTTTGAGACCAGCCTAGCCAACATGGTGAAACCCCATCCCTACTAAAAATACAAAAAATTACCTGGGTATGGTGGTACATACCTGTAATCCCAGCTAATCGGAGGCTGAGGCAGGAGAATTCCTTGAACCCAGAAGTAAGAGGTTGCAGTGAGCCTAGATTGTACCACTCACCACTGTCCTCCAGCCTGGGCGACAGAACAAGACTGTCTTCCCCCCCACCCCCCCCTCCCAAAAAATAGCTGGGTGTGGTAGCACATGTCTGTAGTCTCAGCCACTCAGGAGGCTGAGGCAGGATGATTGCTTGAGCCACTGCACTCCAGCCTGGGCAACAAACCAAGGCTTTCTTAAAACCAAACCAAAAAACCATTCTGCTCCTACTTTAAATCAGAAGTTGCAATCAAGAGCTTACCTGGCTGTGGCCAGGTAAGCTGGCTCATGCCTGTAATCCCAACACTTTGGGAGGCTGAGGTGGGTGGATCCCAAGTTCAAGACCAGCCTGGCCAACATGGTGAAACCCCGTCTCTACTAAAAATACAAAAATTATCTGGGCATGGCGGCGTGCGCCTGTAACCTCGGCTACTTGGGAGGCTGAAGCAGGAGAATCGCTTGAACCCGGGAGGCTGCAGTGAGCCGAGATTGTGCCACTGCACTCCAGCCTGGGCGACAGAGTGAGACTCCGTCTCAAAAAAAGGCGGGGGCTTCTGTGAGCACAAGAGGTCTTTTCACCAAGTCTATGCCAACTGTGGCTCACATCTGAACTTTCTCATGCAACAACTGACCCATTATTTAGGTGTTGAAAATGAACGGAGGCAATTGAGTTCCCCAGCTCTCTAAACATTACCTCTTCCCTGAGTCTTGGGGACACAGGCCTTGCCTGCCTCAACCGCACATAGGTTTTTTTTTTTTTTTCTTGAGACAGAGTCACGCTCTGTCACCCAGGCTGGAGTAGTGCGGTGGCACCATCTTGGTTCACTACGACCTCCGCCTCCGGGGTTCAAGCGATTCTCCTGCCTCAGCCTCCTGAGTAACTAGGATTACAGGCACCCGCCACCATGCCCAGCTAATTTTTGTATTTTTAGTAGAGATGGGGTTTCACTATCTTGGCCAGGCAGGTCTCAAACTCCTGACCTTGTAATCTACTGCCTTGGCCTCCTAAAGTGCTGAGATTACAGGTGTGAGCCACAGTGCCCACCCAGTGTGTCTTACTATCGGCTCAGTGTGGTCCGGTTGGGGTGAATAGTGGCAAGAAGCTGCTCTGAGGAGGAAATGAGGTATGAAAGAGACACAGAAGTTGGCTGACGAAGTGGGGGTGGGGAGAGCGTTCCAGTGGAGATAGCACCTCTGTGGCGCGTCCAGACAGTAAGGGGCCAGAATAATTGAAACACAGGAGAAGCTGGAGAAGTTGACAATGCCGGACCTTGGCCAGGCAGGATTTTATGTCTTGCTGTTGAGAAAGAGCCATTGGAGGGGGCTGAGCAGAAGTAAGCTAGGTTTTACTGACCTGGAGGCAGCGGCCGTGTGCCTGCTACGCCTGGTCTGGGCTGATCTGACCACAGGGAGGAAGGTGGGGGGCTGGCTTCCAGGGCTTTGATCCCCTGTCCAGGCCTCGCCCACCCTGTCTTTCTGACAGCTGCAGATGATTGTGATGGGCAAGAACCTGGGGATCCCCAAGCCTTTTGGGCCCCAAATCAAGGGTACCTGCTGCCTGGAAGAAAAGATACGCTTCTTGCTAGAGCCCCTGGGCTTCAAGTGCACCTTCATCAGTGACTTCGACTGCTACCTGGCAGATGTGGGAGACATCTGTGCCTGCGCCACCGTCCGCCGGGTGCCTTTTGCCTTCAAATGGTGGAAGATGGTGCCTTAGATCCGGGCCCTGGAGTTACCAGCTCTGCCCCAGCATGGATGGCCCATGTCACCATGCAGCAGCAAGGCTCCTTGCCAAGTAGAGGAGGCTGGAGAGTCAAGGCAACACAACCCTTTCCTCCCCGTCCACCCTGACCCTCGGACCCCGTAGGATGGCAAATGCCGCCAGCTTGAACCCCTGTGGGGAAAAGATAGAAAAGTTTTCAGCCAATAGGCATTTACTAGATAGGCAATAAAGCGCTGGCGGTCGTGAATGCATCTTGGCGGTGACCTTGTTTGGGGAGGGGGTCCTATGGCCATGCTGGCCTGCTTGTGAGGGGCAGAGACGTGGCTACGTGATGAGCTGCTGTCCTTCCCCTCATCTCTAAATCACGTCTATGGTAGGAAGTGGTTGGGCTTGCATTATTCGAATGGACTTGATTATTCAAATGCTGCTCTGGTTTAAGTAACTGACAAGCGGGGTCTAGAGTCCAGGCCCAGGCTGGAGGAAGGTCGAGGGCCTCCCCTTGGGCTGGGTAGGAGCTGGAGGGGGCAGGCCCAGGGTGATGGTGGTGTCATGCCCAGTGGGCAGCTGGCCTCAGCAGGTGGAGGGGCTGGTCGTTTTGGGTCTATAGGTGTGGCCTCTGAGAGAAGGCACAGCAGGGGCGGACCTGGACTGACAGCCTCAAGTGCCCCCTCCAGGGCCCAAAGCCGTACACTCCCATCTGATCAACCCTGTGTTAATGGCACGGGGATGCTGTTAAGCTTTAACAAGTGCTGTGGCTCCTGCCCTGCTGCTCCTGGGCGATGACTTCTCTAGGACACTCGAATTTTCAGGGTAGGCCCTGAGAAGGGAGTCCTGTGTCCCTGTCCCACAGGGAGCTGAGGGCAGAGCTGGGCCTTGAACTAGCCTAGGTCCCAGCACCCGGGGCTGTGGGCAACAGGCAGGACCTGGCCAGCCTCTGCCAGCTGCTGGGGCGGTAGAGGAGGGTCACCCCAGGGAAGCAAGGCAGCTGAGAGGCAGAAGCCAGGGTTGAGGCAGTGGGGCCGGTCTCTGGGTCAGATGCGGGTCTTCATCCAGGAGCTGCGTCCTGGTGTGCCAGCTCCCCCGGAACACCTGACGCACCACCTCTTGTTAGCCTGCCTGGTGGTGCAGGGTTTGTGGACTAGATCCGTCTTGTATTCACGGCTCTGTTCCCTATACCAGCCTGGGACTCTGACACAGACCAGGCCTTCAAATGAATCTTAAATATGGGGAGGGATGATGAGCTCATCCCTCCCCATATTTTCAGATAGTCTGGAAAAGCCAAAGGGAGAGGGGACTCTGCATCCCAAGTGCTGGGCTCCATCTCTAGGGAAAAAGGGAAGAGGGCAGCCCTAGGGCCAGAAGAGGGACAGAGGGGGACAAAATATCCACTCTCCCACCCACACAGGCTTTTCCCAGGGAACTTGCCCACCTCTGCCAAGGGCTGCCTTAGGGTAGGTGACTTCGTCTTTCCTCTAACCCTAACTAGACCCGCACCCAGGGCTTCTCAGGTCAGCCCTGGGCCCTTCCCGCCCCACCTGCCTAAGGGCCCCGCAGGAGACCTTGGCAGCTTGACACCCTTTCCTCCTGTTACCTCCCAGGCACCCAGCAGCACCGCCCTGATGGCACCTGCAGAGAGCCACCTTCCAGCCCTGGCTGTTAAGACACCTGCAGCAGAGCTGGGTTTGCTGGGCTTGCACGATGCTGCAAACTTCTCTAAGTTAGGCACCGACGGTTTACTCAGTCTGGATTTCCAGCTCCTGCTGCCAAGTCTTACCACCCTGGGCCTGAGGCTGAAGACTCACTGGCCACACCCTAGACACAGATGTGCTCCAGAAGGCCCCAGTCCTAGTCGCTCCCCACTGTCCTCTGCAAAGGTCACCTGGAGCCGTGCTTCCCTACTGCTGTAGGGAAGGAGAGGAAATGCTTCCTCTACCTGTCAAAGGTGAGAAAACCAGCTAAGTGGGCCCTGTGCCTCAGTTTCCTCACCAACTGGGCAAGACTTGTGCCTGTCTCAAGGTTGTTCTGTGGACTGGAGTAATTTACATAAAGCCCTAGAAGGATGTGGTACCTTAATTCCTTAGCCACTCTCATTCTTGAAGGCTGGGAGACCATATCTCTGCAGCAGTGAACACAACCCTCCATTGCCTGCATAGCAGACACAGGGCCAGGTGCAGTGGCTCACCCCTGTGATCCCAGCACTTTGGGAGCTGAGGTAGGTGGATCACTTGAGACCTGGAGTTCAAGGCCAGGCTGGCCAACATGGGGAAACCCCATCTCTACTGAAAATATAAAAACTGGTCAAGCATTGTAGTGTGTACCTGTAATCCCAGCTACTTGGGAGGCTGAGTTGGGAGAATCGCTTGAACCCAGGAGGCAGAGGCTCCGAAATGTGCCACTGCACTTCAGCCTGGGCAACAGAGCGAAACCTCGTCTCAAAAAAAAAACAAAAAAAAAAAACCCAGGAAATACTGGTGGGGTGGGGGGTGGATGTTGGGGAGTGCTGGAGACCCAGTGTGAGGCAGTTGAGGGTTTTGGAGATTCCAGCCCTCCCATAGGCCTCCCAACCTGCGACAGGCCATCTTTTAGCTTTCTTTTTTCTAAGACTGAGTTTTGCTCTTGTTGCCCAGGCTGTAGTGCAATGGCTCCATCTCGGCTCACTGCAACCTCCACCTCCTGAGTTCAAGATTCTCCTGCCTCGGCCTCCTGAGTAACTGGGATTACAGGCATGTGTCACCATGCCTGGCTAATTTTGTATTTTTAGTAGAGACCACGTTGGTCAGGCTGGTCTCGAACTCCTGACCTCAGGTGATCCACCTGCCTCGGCCTCCCAAAGTGCTGGGGTTATGGCATGAGCCACCACACCCAGCCCTTCTAGTTCTTTAAAGGCACCAAGTCCTCTCCCTTCCTGGCTGCCTCAGTGCCCAGAATTCCCTCAGCAGGGGGTGACCCCCATTTCCCTTCCAAAGCGCTTAAGGGGCTGTTCCTGTCTCCCCATTCTCCCCTCCCCACATCCCTGCTTGCTGAGTGCTACTAGTCTGGAGAGTGGACTCCATTGCTACTGGCTGGTGGTGACACCAGCTAAGCCAGATCCTGAGACCCTCCCTCAGGTCCCTGCCCTTCCAATGTGGGGCTGGGGCAGGTGTTGAGGGCGGAGCAGGACTAGGCAGGAACAGGCAAGTCCCCTTCCCCATCCGCCATCCTTCCAGCCCTTTCCACTCTTCCCTGGGAGTCCAAGGAGCCGCTGAGAGTGGAGGGTACTGGCCAGCAAGGCTACTGGCTTGACGGGGCAGGACAGCAGCGGGAGGCAGCAACTTTGCAGGTGAGAAAACCCCAGAGCCAAAGGCCAGATGTGGGTGGCACATGCCTGTAATCCCAGCACTTCGGGAGGCAGAGGCAGGCGGATCACCTGAGGTCAGGAGTTCAAGACCAGCCTGGCCAACATGGCAAAACCCCATCTCTACTAAAAATACAAAAATTAGCCAGGCGTGGTGGTGGGTACCTATAATCCCAGCTACTCAGGAGACTGAGGCAGGAGAATCCCTTGAAACCCAAAGGCAGAGGTTGCAGCAATNAAAAAAAAAAAAAAAAGCTGGGAGTGGTGGCACGCACCTGTAATCCCAGCTACTGGGGAGGGTGAGGCAGAAGAATCGCTTGAAACCAGGAATGTGAGGTTGCGGTAAGCCAAGATTGCGACGCTATACTCCAGCCTGGGGGACAAGGGTGAGACTCCGTTTCAAAAAAAAAAACTCAGAGCCACCTGTGGGAAGCCTGCCTTCTCTGCCTTTTGACTGCAGGCTTTTCCCATCCCCTAGCACTCTGTGCTGGCCACCCATGCTGCCCCTGGAAGGGCAGGTGAGGGTCTTCTGGATGTTCACGAAGCTCTCAAGCCCCTCCAGGGTGGCCACAGGTCACATGGGCTCACTGTCCTCAGCCAGGGGCAGGCTGGGGGAGCAGGGGAGGCCATCTTTGTTACTGGGACCTTCGTGGTTCCAGGTACGGGTCTTCCCACCCTGCCCCACCGTGTTCTCAGAGCCATTTTCTGTGTACCCCACTTCCCTCTATAAAACAGGGATAAATAGCCCCCCCTTCAAGACCATCCATGTGGCCGGGTGCGGTGGCTCATGCCTGTAACCCCAGCACTGTGGGAGCCTGAGGTGGGTGGCTCAATACCAGCCTGGCCAACATGGTGAAACCCTGTCTCTACCAAAACACAAAACTTAGCCGGGCATGATAGTGGTTGCTTATAATTCCAGCTACTTGGGAGGCTGAGATGGGAGAATTGCTTGAACCCAGGAGACTGGTTGCAGTGAGCCGAGATCGCACCACTGCACTTCAGCCTGGGCAGCTGAGCAGCAAGACTCCATCTCAAAAAAAAAAAAAAAAAAGTAGCCAGGCGTGGTGGTGGGTACCTATAATCCCAGCTACTCAGGAGACTGAGGCAGGAGAATCCCTTGAAACCCAAAGGCAGAGGTTGCAGCAATCCGACATCATACCACTGCACTCTGGCCTTGCGAAAGCAAAAACTCCGTCTCAAAAACAAAAAACAAACCAGACGGTTGGAATGGACTGCAGGAGTCAGGGCGAGACACACAGTACCCAATCTGCAGCATGCTCAAGCCCTGACAGCCAGTGTGTGTCAGCTGGGACACTGCCCGAAGCAGTGGCTGCTTTCCCTGACCATGGGGGACTCCTCCAGAGTGGGATCATCTGATGGGAAGCTCCAAGCTGCCAGGCAGGGAGATGGGAGACACTGTTTTACATGTGGACGGTCCTGCAACAGTGCACGTGCTGCTGTTGCAGCCGACAGGTGGTGGGAGCTGGTCTCCTCTCCCGAACGGGGCCAATGCCTGCGGGAGAGGCTGGTCTGGCCACTACTCAGCCAGTCAACACAAGGTGGCCAGCAATCGAGGCTCCTGGGATCCCCGGCGTCTCTGTGGCCGCAGGGAGCTGACGTCCTGTGTGAGGGTCCTGTCTAGGACTCTGCCCAGTATAGACTCGGCAGTAGCCTAGAAGCCAATGCCTGCCAGTCCCTCCCAGAGAAGGGAGGGCGTCCATGGCCTCTGAACATCAGCCCAGCCTCCTGGTGCCCTCTGGTGGGCAGTTGGCCACACTGCCTGCAAGGAGCAGCCCT